CCTGTCCCTGTCTCTTCACCACCCTGGGCCTTTTCCACATTGCACCAGCATTCATGAGGGCACACAAGTTGCCAGGAATGATAAAAGGTGCCAGTAAATCAAGCAGTACTTTCTCCTGAGCCTCTCCTTGCACATCCCACCTTGTGTCTGTCGACTCTGGAAGCCACGTGGCCAACGGGATCAACGGGGTCACTTGGTTGAAAAAGGAGCTGGAGGGTGGGGAGTGACCCAACCTTGTCCCCCCACAACTCCTTCAACTTCCAGTTTTCCTGTTTGACTTGTCCTGCACCATCACAGTGTCTGCTGCCAACCTAAGGCAGTAAACAGGTGGGGCTGATGCTGACAGGGCCTGCTTTGACAGCAACCCACTGTTCCACGGGCTGGTTCTGCCTGGCATCTCCCTTTATGGCTGTTTGCCCACTCCCCTTGCTTGTTCTTGTGTCAGTTGTAATCCCCTCATGTCCAGTTTCAGGCTTTTCCCAGCTTGCCCTTTGTTCTCCAGTCTCTTAGAATCCTCATTCCTACCTCTTCCCTCCCTTTCCCTCCATTCTTGACCAGCTAAATCTGGTCTCCCTCTGGATTGTTCCTTCTTTTCAGCCTCCCTCCTGCTTTGTTTTCTTCCTTTGCTTCCTCAGCCCTGTCTTGCCAAATCCATTGTCTAGCTCTGTTCTGTTTTGTCTCCTGGCCTGGATTTTTTTCCTTCTCAGTTTTATAATTTTTTTGGCTTCATTTTTTTTTCATAATGCATGAGAGAAAAGGGTCTTTAAGAGCACCAGAGTTAAAAACTTGGCATTCAGTTGTAGTTCCCAGGCCCTTCCTGCTTTGGAAGAAAACAGGGGAATGCTACAACACTTCTTAAAGGAGGTAAAAGTCAGTAGTCTGATTTCAACCAGGTATAAACAGTACATCTATATATAAAAATGGCACATCTTCTATTTTTTATATAATTTCTTAAAAATTTTTGTGGCAATAAGAGATGTATGCAAATGGAATCACAACATCTAGTTGTCTAGTTTGGGATTTTACTTGTGTCCCCTTTCACCAGTTATCACTTATGTTGTAGTTTATTTTTGAGAACTACAATATGTAAGAAAACTATTGTTAGTCATTTCTTCCCTATTTTTTTGGACTTGACACCCCGTTAATTGTTGGGTGAGTTAACCTTTGCACAGATTAGTTAGTCAAACAGGGCTTTTTAGGCACTATGAAAACTGCTCCTACTTTTTAGTTAGAACCTAAGTCAGAGTGAAGGATTTGGGAAATGTCTGCATTATATGAAATGCTGCATGGGCAAGGTGTCTGGGAAATAAAGGGAAGCAGGAATTCTTCCCACAGCTTTGAGTCGTGCCTTGGTTTTATATGTTAGTGCAGGAAGTCTTGCTTTCTTCAGCAGGTTAAAATAGATTTCCTCTCTTAAAATAGTTGAAGGAACATACTAAAGGAGGCTTAAATACTTTTAGAACAGTTAAATGTCTTGTGTGCTTTTGTCTTTTGTTGGTGATACTTTGTGAAAGTGAAAGGGTGTTTGGAGGAAGGGCCTGTGATTTTAAACTGATACAGGTACTCTCTGCCTGAATATGCTTTTAGGTGGTTTTGGATGACTTCTCTGTAACATGGATGTTGGTGTTGGAAATGGGGGTTTTCTGCTCCTACTGGATTTTTTTTTTAAATCTGATGACACTTTGTAATGCTAAATTCTTTGGAAAAAAAGTCTTTAACGTCCATTCTATTAGCACTTTATTATTTTATACCACATTTTCTTGGTATTTAGCATTTGTTGTAGTTGAATTCAGCATGAGAAATTAGGCTAACTTAGGCTAATTAGGAATTATTGTTTGTGGGTAGTTTAAGTGCTGGGAGACAGTTAATTGAACTGGTGCTCTTTGCAGTCTCTTTTTCCCTTCCCAGTTTAAAAACCCCATGGATTTACATCTGTTCATGCCAACACAGATTTTTCCTTTCTAGATACTGAATTCAGTTACAATCTTGAATTTAGCCAATGCTATATGAGACAAGTACCTACTCAGATATAATTGGTTGACTAACTTTTACCTTTGAAACAGGTCCTTTGAGCTTGTTAGCCAAAAGTAGTGCTTTCTGCTTGAAAACTTGCACCTGCTTCATCACCTAAAAATGAATTTGAGAGGGGAAAAAAAGAAACAAAGACATAATGCTAAAACGAGGTCACAAGGTTTATGATAACCTGTTGGATTGCATAAAAATGGATATTCATAAAAATTGCCAGGCTTTTTAAAGAGCATTTTAAGGATGTAGTTTTGTGGCCCAGTTCTGTGTGGCAGGTGTAGGTTTGCAGTTGGTGTGGAATTGTGTCCCCAGGCAGGGAGAGGTGGGCACTCAGTGCCAAGCCTCCGTCGTTCCTGTGGCATGGGTCGAGTTTGACATGTGCAGTTGTGAGTTGTGGTAAAAAACAGCTTCCCAGAACAGAGCTAACTGGCTCCTGTGAGCCAGTGTGTCCGTCCTTCCAGGGACTCAGTTCTCCTGGTGTTGCCAGCGTTTTTTTCATCTTGGCCTGGTTTTGTTGGCAGCTGTGACTACTGTGGTAACTTCCTTTGCTGATGCTGTTCTTTCCAAGCTGGGACAAAACTTGTTTGGCTTTTCTTTTGCATTTCAATATCCGAATGACCCCAGTGTCTCATTTTTCAGTATGTTTGTGTAACATGTTAAAGGTTGCTGTTCCTGTATATTAGAGCTGGATCTGAGGCACAGTTCTCCCTGGAATGGTTGAAGTGACTTGGCAATACACTGTTACAACCATCCTGTGAATGCCTCAAGTTTCTGCTCTCAGCTATGCTGAAATAAAGAATAGCTAATCTCAAGCAGAAAAGATGTTAAAAGACAAATTTACATTTAGAATTTAAATACTGTGTAACTTCTCGAAATATTCCCAGATGTCAGTCAGGTATTTTCCTCAGTCAGATTTTGTAAACTTGTCAAATCCTGCATTAGAAATAGAAATAAATCTTTGTATTTTCCAAGCAGTGCTTGCCAGGTGTGTTTTGACAGTGGTTGATAGTCTGCTGCATTTGACTGTGGCTTGTTATCAGCACTGACATGCAGCTGTTCACCCCTGTGGTTAAATAATCGTGTTGCTGCAGATATTCTGACAGGTGGTTTTTGTGGAATTTTGTATCCTTTGCATCCTTGCCACGCTTCTTCAGTAAGAGCTGCACACACTTTGAGTGTTATTCCTCCTTCCCCTGACAACACTGGATGGCTGGTTGGCTGTCTGACAGTTCCTGTCACCTTATATTGTCTCTTTTCCTTTCTCCATCCTGATCCAGACATTAACAGAAATTTGAAAAAATAAGTATTGAAAAATAAGTATTTTGTATTTAACTCTCCCTTTCCCCCTCTTCCTACAACCTAAGAAGGACATGGACCTGTTGGAGTGTATCCAGAGGAGTACCATGAAAATACTCTGAGGGCTGGAGCCCCTCTGTGGGGGGCTGTGGAGCCAGGCCAGGAGAGCTGGGGGGGTTCACCTGGAGAAGAGAAGGCTCCAGGGAGATCCTGGGGACCCTTCCAGTGCCTAAAGGGGCTTTTGGACAAGGGCCTGGAATGACAGGGCAGGTGGGAATGGCTTCCCACTGCCAGAGGGCAGGGTTAGATGGGATCCTGGAAAAGACAAGGTGCAGATTTTCGGCTATGGAACTGCTACATCTGATTAAGACTGGGTTAAACAATATATTTGTGTTTTGTAGCGTTGAAGAACGGGGAAATCTTGCAACGTTTTTCAGAAGCCTTTCAGCTTACGCTGAGTGGGTTGAGCATCGCAGACGCACCTTCCTGCACTTCAAGGTACTGTTACCAAGCCTTTATTTATTGTTATTTATTAGTACTATATTTGTTTCTTTAAGTAGTTCATTAAGACAAAGCATTGGAGGTGAAACCTGCACTCTTTAGCAGAATATGGGCATCTTAAATTTGTATGTTGTGGAGAAGAGAATATTAGCTAAAAAAATTGTTTTGAGTTCAAGGGGCAATGCCTTTGCTTGGTTTTTCTCTGGATTGTTATCATACTATTGCTGTGTTCCTTGTGGGTGGGGAAAAATAAGAGTGCCTGTGCCTTTCTGTGAGGGAGCAAGACAGTTTTCATTGGTATTAAATCTTATTTTGATTTAAAAAAAAAAAGGAGCAAAAGAAGAAATGAAAAGAAAATAACATTTGTAGTCTTTGGCATGTAAACATTGGTTTTGAAGGACTGGATCTGTTTCTCTTGAAGATGTGGCAGCCTGTGTTTGGACCACAGTGCTTTGAGTTCTGAGTTGTTTTACTTGTATGGGAGATAAACTGTTGCTCCCTTTTAACTGGAACATAGTATTTGAACTTAGTTTTAAATTGCCAGCATTTGGCTTGTTTGTTTTGGCTTTGTACTGGTTTTAAGATAAACAATTCATCCTTGGAGTAAAAATCCGTCAGTCTGACAGACAAAACATCTTACACGGTGCTTAATGTTAGAGGAGGATGTTTATGTGCTTAATTATTTGTGGGTTTTCAGTTCAGTTTTTCTTTACCTCAAACATTTACTCCCATTGAACCCAGTTCCATCTTTACTTTTCAGCTGGAATATGAAGTGGGAACTGCATTGTTTCCTATTTTTTGAATGTTTTAGGCCTTTGAGTTCTGTGCCAAGTTAATCCATTTCTATTATCAAATCAACCAGAACAGAGAAAAAAAGTACTATTTTCTGATAATGTTAAAAAATAATCCTGTCCTCAGCTGAGCAATAAACTGATGTTGTCTAATCCTGCTGGCTGTTGAATAAAGGCTTTTCTTTAATCCCTCCATAGAAAAGGTAGAGCACCCAGGGCTTTATGGCTTTGTGATTGTTTTTTTTCAAGCTTCACTTGATGCTTTTTGATCCTTAGATGAGCCTCATGACAGCAGTCACTGTGGTTTCTGGGACAGTGATTCAGTAAACTACTGGAAATATTTCTCATTTTAAAATATAATAAAAAAAAGCAGAAATAGAAAGGAGGTAGGTTTGGAGATAATTTTTACTCACAGAAAATTGTTGTGTATATAAGCAGTTTTAAAAATATTTTTCAGATGTTGAGTGTAAATAATGAAGGGATCTATTAATTGCTAAAATATGTGTGAACATAAATTCTCTGAAGACATATTACAAGTTTGTCAATATTACAGATGTTCTTTCTAAAGGTATTTTTATTTCCACGGACAAGGATGCTGTTGAGAAAGGCAATTTGGGAGAATATTTACCAAGTATGACTGCCTAAGTGTTTATGAAGAGGGTTTTTTTAGGCCTTCTTATTTCTGCTAGCATTAATAATCATTTCATTTAGAAACAGAAGACATTCTCAGGTAAGAGAATTAATAAAGGCTTCAAAGATCAACTCTGACAATTCAAATAACCAGATTGCAAAGGAGAATGTGTATTTGTAACTTAATATTCTGTAATAATTTGTGTGAAAGAACTAGAGGTATGTTTTTACCATATGCATAAAAACATCTGAAAAGTCTTATCCTGTTAATGTTCACACTCACACAACATTAAAAATGAGTCTGTAATCTTTGTATTGATTTCCACCCTCCCCCAACCTGCTCTCTACTGCAAATATCCAGGTAGGTAACTGTACACTGCACTGGAGAGACTGTTTGGGGTGGAGTCTTGGGTTTATAGCTTTTTGAAGAGTTAAAAGAAAATTACCCAGGCTGACAAGTAGAAATAGAGAGTTTCTGATACTTTACTTTTGGTGTAAAAACACCAAATTCTTTCTTTCCTGTTAGTTTTCATACTTGAAAAGACATCAATAATGTAGAAGTGACTGAATACTTCAGATAATACTGAATGTTTGAGATGAATGACAAGTCAAGGTAGTGCTTCAAATAGATTTTGAAGGGGTAAAGGAGGTGTCCCCCGAGTATTTTGTATGGCAGGTCTCACTGTATTGTCATAATAAATATTATGTCTGCAAATGGAGTTACAGCTGCAAATAATTTTCTGATCTTCCTCTGCTGTGAGGATGAACAACTGAAACAGGTTGGCAATGCTGGGAGAGCAGATTGTTGGAGCTGATACTGATAAACAAGAAAAAAAAATTCAAGTTTTATTGGAAATACAGAACAGAAATGAGTGATAGGAAAAAAATAGAATGGTTTACATTCAGCTTGATACATTCAGCTTGATATTAGTACTGGTCACACAAATAGAAGGTGAAAATCCTCCCTGCTGAAGCCCTTCTCGCTTCTTGTTTTGATTATTTACCTTGCTATGGATGGGGAAAGGAAATTAAAACACATCAGATAACTTACTGCCTTCATTGGGCATTCAGAAGGTACCAGTTGTGTGTTCTCGTTTGCTTACGAAGTATTAAGAGTATTAATTAGCATTACTGGTGATAATTAGCACGTTTCAAAAATACCTACAACATTTTGATGTCGAATGATGTGGCAGTGTTAGGTCTCAGAATGTTTACTTGTGTGTATCTATTACAAAACTCTGCTTGTTTTTATGTGTACACTTCTAATTGTTTTCCTAGGAAGAGTTTTGGTGATATTGACTGATCCTATTAATACTGGAAAGAGCTCTTTTTTTTTTTTTTCCCTTAATAATAATGATTTGTGATGAGAAAAAGATCAGAGGCCACTCCTTATGTAACTTAGAGGAAACACCCAGCTGTGTTTTCTCCATCTTAGGCTTTTATCCTAAGAGGGATGAGAGAATTGGTGGCTTTTGTTTTTTCCCTGTATAAATTTGGCTCGAAATTGGAATGTGTTTTTTACATGCTTGGGAGTTATTTTTCAGCTTTTGCTAAAAACCTGGAAACATCAAAGTTTTATGACTTACTTGGAAAAATTAAAACCAAGTATTACTGTCAGACTTCGGGTTTGGTCTCAGTTGTATTAAGGCAATGGAATTTCTTGTTATACCAAGTAACTTAAAATGAAAAATATTGGGGATTGCTGTGTCTTTCTTGGGTAGTGGGTTCAGATCAAAAATATTTTTGTGCTGCATTTCATGGTTGCATCCTCTTTCCAGAAAGACGAGTTGATGCTTGACAAAGTTAGTTAAAAACTGGCTGAAAGGCTCTTCAGCCTCAGCACTGAGTGACAGAACATCAGTGTGTGCAGAATTAAGTGGGCATCAATTCCCCAGAGCACAAGCACTAACAAATCAAGGCTTAGCTAAATAAGATAAATAAAATACAAAATATCTTGTACAATCAGTATTCTAGATGTACTGATACATCATCATGCATTTGATGCTTAACTATATCTACAAATGAGGAATCTATACTAGCTTCAAACTTAAGAGTTGATGTGGCAATAGGAACTAGCACACCTTTGGCATTCACACCTCTGGTAGGTATTTGAGGGGAGAAACAATGTCAGAAGTTTATAGTTGTGTAATAAAAAATACTGTGTTCCTATATCATTTATGTCTAGTTTTAGATAAACTGACTGTCAAGGCCTGCACACTCAATTTGTGTTTTTAATACACTGCATGGTTTAAAGTAGTTGAGTGAAATGGTACTTGAAGTTAACTTTTTTTTTTTTAGATTAGTGATAGAATCACCTTCTCTTTTTAATTTGAAAATCTGATTTAATTTTTCCCTAATGAGCAGAAATATTGTTGTACAAGGATAATTCTGTTTCTTCTCACTGACATCTAGCTGAAATCATACTTATTTACAGGTAAGAAACATGAATTCAGCTTGCTGTTAATTATATTGTCACATTTCCTTTAAGAAAAGCTGTGGAACAAGGCTCAGTCTCCATCATTCATTAATAGCCTTAGTCATAATTAATAGTCATACGATGCTGGACTTTGACCATTGTGTTAAAATGGGAAACTGGTGTTGCAAAAACAGCTCAGCAAAACTTACATATTTCACTTAAAACCGCCCTGTGTAAAAATAAACCCTGTATTTTTATACATACACATTCTTAGATGATTTTCAAAGCAAAACAGTAGAAGGAGATTTAACACAACCTTGAAAAGTTCCAGTTGCTATATTGCTTGGTGAACTAAACCTTAATAGGAATTGTTTTCATTTTTCACAAACCAAGTTTTTAAGGAAACTTTTTAATGAAATTAACCTTTGAGAAGTTCTGTTTCTAAACATAACTTTCTTTTGTGTGCATCTTCATCCGATACACTTTTGAAGGGCAACTGAAGAGATTTCATTTCAGATTAAAAGAGTGGCATTGGAATTAAAAGAAGTATTTTGCCTGTGTAGCTTGCTCCAAGAGTGTGCTGCATTTATCTGAAAGTCAAATGTGGTGATTGTTCTGAATACTGGCAAAGAATGTGAACCAGCAGTTACTGTGTGATTTTACCTACACAAAAGGAGTACGTGATGAAGTGAAGGTTGAGATGTGTGTGCATATACCTGTTTTTACACTTTCGTTAACAGAAGAGATTCTGAAAGCAGTGACACCACAACTACTGAATAAAGTGACTGTTTAGAAATAGTTATTTCAGAGCAGAACCACACTTCAGTGTCGTAGAAGGTTCTGGGTGTGCAGGGAAAACAGCATTAGTGAGGGAGAGGATCCGAGCTTGTAAACAGAGGAAGAGAGGACCCTTTGTTAGCATGGCTGAGTTGTGGCCTGTGCAGTGGCAGAAGCAGGGTTAGTAGTACGTGCCCACGGGCAGCATTCTCAGGCAGGAGAAGGCGTTGACGTGCTTTGCCAGGACGATGGGGTTGCCCTCCATCCTGATCTCGTCCATGCGCGTGCGGATGTACCGCGTGTTGTTGGACTTGCAGAACGTGTCGTCCGTGATGGTGGTGATGTTGTTGTACTGCAGAACAAAACAGTTCAGGAAACACACCCAGTTATATACACGTGCACCCGTACAGGTGGAAGTTTTTTCACACTTTAATTTTATTCCTCTTGCCCTCCCATTTTGTCATATTTGATTTGTCTGTAGAATAGGCTGAGTTGGAAGGGACCCATTAGGATCATCCAGTCCAACTCCAGGCCCTGTGCAGGGCACCCCAAGAATTCCATCATATACTTTAGATATGTAGGAATCAAGTCTTTTCAAACTGATCAAATGAGTTGACGTTGTTATTGATGTATGGAATGTATTGCTGATATAAAGTTATTGCTTATTTTTGTAATCTCCTGTCCTCGATGTACAGAACTAATAATAAATCCTTGCATGGTAATTAGCTAACAAACAACTTCAAACTTCTGGATGGTTGTGGCCATACAGATTAAATTGTTTTATTTGGAGGAGCATTTGACAATTGTAGTGGAAACTGCTTCAGAAGAGAATGAGTTTGTTTTAAAGTATGTAACTAATGAGGCTTTTCCTAATAGAATGTGAGGGAAATGCTTTTTGAATACCTGAAGGTGAAGAATGCGCAGGCTCTCCGGTAAGTTCAGCGGAACAGATTCCAGTGCATTGTGCCCCAAGTAGAGGTAGGCCAAATTTGTGAGCTTCTGTTAAAGAGAAATTACTAATACTGGTATTGCTTACTCGAAGTTAAATAACTTGTGCCTGTTAGAGGACATCAGTATTTTTTTCTGATCACAGAGAAAGGCTGGAAACTGATATAAGACAGAACATTCTTTTGCTGTGAATGTTGAATTCTATTATATTGAGAAACTCATAGAGCAGGCCTTCTATGTCTTGGAAATTTCAGTGTCTGCACATTGGTTATAAAACTTGAGACCACTATAAAGCTCCATCTTTGTTTATTAGTGTTTCTGTGGTCCTCAGAACTGTATTTGAGCCATCAGTTTTTGAACTGAGCTTTTCTTTGCATGTAAGAGAGAAAGGAGGTAGGTAAGGCATTTTGTAGAAAAATCTGGTTTACGTGAAGGGCATGAGAGAGTGAGTGCACAAAGGACTGATCTTCCAGGGCGCCTTAAAAGCCAAGGAACAGCTGGAAAACTTCATCGCAGTTTGTTTCTTAGGTTACAATAAACACAGAAAAGGGAATTTGGTGGCAGACTGAACAGTCTGGTTACTAATTTGAATTTACTTTGGTCACCTAAATTACTGGGTTTTTTCCTTACCTTGAAAGCATTTGCTTTGATTCCTCTGCTCTTGATTCTGTTTTGGTTTGCGTTAAACGTCGTTAGTTTGGGAGGTAGAACAGGAAGTTTTACAAGTCGATTTTCAGCAAGAGAAAGTTCTTCCAACAACAGAAGCTTTGAGAAGGCTCCATCTTCTATTTCTTCTATCCTGTTTCCACTAAAATCAATTCTTCTCAAGGTAGCTTTACATAAAAGAAATGAAAATCTAAATATTGACTCTATAATTATGTGGCACGTGTGAAATATGTATGGCTGCACATGTTAAAGGTTACACTGCTGGCTGCAGCATCTGAATTGTGATCTACAAGTGCAAATACTATTAAAATGTGGATAAAACCCACATCTAGATTTTCTCATGGTCTTCAATTGAAAAAAAAAAAAAGAGAAAATACTCTGAATCCTTCTTTTTGTCTTAGAGACAACGTGATTTCAGATATTCATAGAATTTGTCATGCTGTCGAGTGAGAGAGCTGGGAGAGATGTCCCTGGAGCATTTGAAGGAAAAGTAATGCCTGCTCATTTAACGCTGACTGGGATGCAGAGTTGAATTTTATTTTTAGCAGTCTGCTCTTTCCCTGATGGTTTGGGAGAATTAAGATGTTTACATGGTCCAAAAAGTGTTTCCATTTTACCTTTGCAGTTCCTTTTCTAACACGGGCATTGCATTGAGCAGTACCCCTTCAAATATACGATCAGGTGAGCAGAAATTAAAATATGAGCATCACTTACTAATGTCAGCAAAATCTGAGGCTGCAATCCTTTTGATCTTGTTGAACCTTGCATACAGATAAGCTGTCTCCTTGGGCAGGGGGGGCACGGCCTCGATGTCGATCTCCTCGCAGTACACGGACCCGCTCAGGCACACACACAGCAGGCACGTGGGCAGGTCTGAAACCAAACAGTGGTCAATAACTTACACTTGAATGGTCAAAATAGGCTTTTCTCTGGTATCTTTTAAGATTTCTCTTCATTAGATTTAAATTTAAATTTAAAACTAAGTTCTGAAGAGATTTAACATTCTGAACTGGTTTGAGGGTTTTATTCTTTTAATCGTGCGTGATTTCTCTGTTCTTATCTGAGCATGTGTTGAAATACTATTGATTGACCTCAATTCAGTTTAAGTCTTTAATTTGCTTAGAGTATTGTGAAGAGACTGAGACTGATCTCTTCTTTGTGGTGACTGGGGACAGGACCCAAGGGAATGACCTGAAGTTGTGTCAGGGGAGGTTTAGGTTGGAGCTTAGAAAAAGATCCTTTCCCCCAGAGGGTGGTTGGGCACTGAACAGGCTCCCCAGGGCAGTGGTCACAGCACCAAGGCTGCCAGAGCTCAAGAAGCATTTGGACAATACCCTCAGGCATGTGGTGTGACTCTTAGGAACGGTCCTGTGCAGGGCTAAGGGTTGGACTTGATGATCCTTGTGGGTCCCCTCCAACTCAGCATATTCTGGGATACTCTAAGTATGCAGCTGCAAGTCTGTGACCATGTTAAATGTCACATTTGGAACCATTCTTTAGACAGCAGAAATCCACAAGGAGAAACACCTGGCAGTGCACACATTTGGCACTGTCATTGCATTGGAGCATTTCTGGCAGGTCACATATATTCTGTCTTGCTCCCAGCTACTATTTTGTCTAAAACTTTTGATAAAAAATCCAGCAGTGCTGACTGTGTAATTATCCTGGAACCACAGAATGGTTTGGGTTGGAAGGGAACTTAGACCATGTCATTCCAACCCCCTGCCACAGACAGGGACACCTTCCACTAGACCAGGTCACTCAGAGCCCTGTAGACAACCTCCAGCAGTTTTATGCTGAGGTGGTTTTATAGCTGTTGTTTCAAATAGAGGGGAAAAACTTTTTTTTTTTTTTAATGCAGTTTAAGACCATTGTGGCTTGCCCTGTTCCTCATGGGCATTAGCAAAGTACTAGAATTTCTGTTTTGCTTTAATTTTTCATGCCAGCAATATTCAAACACCTATAACGAGTGTGGCTTTGAGTGTGGTTTTGTCACCACTGCTGGGTGCTGCACTGGGTTTTCTGGTTGGCTTCCACCCTGGCCTGTCTGCAGTACAGAGAGCAGGGCCACACCACCAGGGAGTTTGTTATCACTACAGAGCAAAACAGGATCTTCCACAACCAGGGAAGAGTTACAGAAGCAGCTGGTCAATACTGGGAACCCAACCCAGTAGGGATAACAGCAATTCTCTTTTTCTTATGCCAGTACTGCACAGAGTCGAATAGATTTGGAGGTCTAGCTCTGTGAATACTATAATTTTTTAGGCTTAAGAGTTCTGCCCTATTTGCCTTTTTTGATTTAGTGTCTTGTTTGTCATTATTAAAAGGCAACAGTTTTTATGCTTGCCTGGGACTAGAAGCTCTGGTGCTCTTGGACACTTGTTCAGCTTTTGACGAGAGCTTGTTGACAGATGCTGTTTGGCAATAATTAACCTTGATTAACACTTTGGTGTAGATTGACACTCAGCTGGTCTTGCTGAGTCATCAGTTATTTTTGGAAGTTTAGATCACAGACACACAAAATACATGTGTCTTTCTCTCACTGCTCTATTTGGCAGAGAAACTTTGTTCCTGTCATGTTTAGAAAGCTTTGTGGCTTGTGAGGAGAAATCTGGACAATGTACAGGCTCTCAGAGCCTGCAGGAAAATGGCTGGTGAAGAAGGTTCCTGATGTACTTTCACTGTTGCCCTCCCTGGTCAGCAGATGTAAACTGAGAATTGCTGATGTTTCTGAGAAATCCAGTGAAGTAACTCAAGCACACCGTATTAAGTCATCATTGTGACTTGGGTAAACTGTGGAACTTACCGGGGGGTGTATTTTGTTTTTCCTGGTTGTCTTGCCTAACTTATTTAACTTGGGAACATCTCAGTGGCAAATATGATTGCAGAGATTCTTACAAGCTGTGCTTTGTGTGTTCAGAGTTTACCTGAGGATCCTTTCAGTTTTTCCATCAGAAGTTGGAAGACTTTCCACAGGAGAAATGAAAGATATTCATAAATGAAAAGACTAATTCTGTAGCTTTTGTCATCCTTTGTATATTAGATTTTCATATTAAAATATGTTCTTTTGGAGAGCTCAGGCAGGACACTGTTCACATCAGTTGACTTACTTGTATCCTTTGTTGGGGGCACATCCAGTTGGCTGTCGTCCCCTTGCAGCCTTAGGGAAGTGTCAAGAGAAACATTTGTTCCATCCTTTGGGTGAGAGCAAATGTTATTTTAAAAAACAAACAGCAAACAAAAAGCCACAGAGCATTACAAGGATCTGAAATAACATGTGTTTTAAAAGTGAGCTTCCTGTGGCATACCTCCTCTGATATTTAGTTTTTAAAGTACTCTCTCTGCTGGATGACTGATGTGATCTATTATCCCTTTTGCCCATGAACTGTTCACTCTGAAAGGCAAGAAGGGAAGCTGCTGCTGCTCATGCTCCTTAGAACAGTAAAGTCCTTCAGGAAAGAACAGTAGAGACAAAATAAAAATAGAGAGAAAATACAGACTATGTGGTGGGAAGGAATATGTAAGAGATGGGTGTCTACAAGCACCTGGAGTTCTGAAGATAGATTTTGCACATCGTGCAAAATTGGATAGGATTCTCGTGAGTGTAAGTTGTTTTTTGTTTTGCCCAAATAATCTCAGTAAAATGACATTTCCTCAAAGCTATTCAGAAGTCCCTGTGGAGATGGTCATTGCATCTTTTCAACTGAAGGACAATTTAGTTTATAAATATGTCCCTTTCAGATATTGGCTGAAATTTGCAATTTGTTTCCATGAACTGCACTTAAATCTGTTCTAAGGTGTGAACTGCGAACAGAAACAGCCTCTTGTGGTGCAGGAAATGGTAGTCAGGTTCTTTTTTCACTGAACACTGTAGGAATTTGAGAATTACCTCTTATTGCTAGAATTGTAGGATACATACAGTGGGTGCACGGATTAAAGTTGAGGGTTTCAGGTTGACTGTGGCAGTTGTTCTTGGCTCACATAATTTGTGTTTTTTATTGATGAGGAATATTTGTAGGACAGAGTAAGACAATATGTTTTTTGGTGTGTGTGGCTATTGGAAACACATGGAGGAAAGAACATTATCGGATGTGGAAGATGTTTTGTTTTAAATGTGGTTAAGGATCAGGCCCTGGCAGGAGCTCTGTTGAAGAGCTGCTTATGCACTGCAAGTGCTCACAAGTCAACTAATGTTAGGTTTTCATCCTTCAGGCACACAGATAGTCCATCTGTAAGAGCAGTGGGGAAGTAATATTATCTTCCAAGTTACTTTTGATACTGACTTTGTTTTAGTTAGTATTTAGTTGCTTGCATATACTTTTACTGTGGGAATTTTTGTCTTCTGCAAAACAAACCCCTCAGGCTTGACATATAAAGCCTGAGAAACAAATGTCTTGCCCAGCCTCTGTCATTTTGGCCCCTTTTTGGCCTGTCAATCCCCCATCCTTTGGCTCTTCCCTGGATCTGCCTGTCCATGCTATGGCTCCGGTTTGGGATGGGTTGCTTTGCTCCAGTAAAACCAAAGGATTTCAGGATGTTGGCAGCAGTTTGGCAGTGCTGGGTGTAGGGAAGCTGAGGGTGTCACCTCAACAGTTGCACTCAAAGAGTAAATCTTACAGAAGGTTTCTGTAAGATTTGCTCCCACAGAGCTGTTTGTGAGGCATGTGAAGATGTGGACCTTGGCTGAGGTGACTGTGCCAGCAGAGACTGCTGAGTACAGGGACTGGTAATGGAACAGCTGCCCTGCTTTTGCTGCAGTTTTTTGGCTTGTAAGGGACACTTTTAATGTGCTTGTATGAAAAACCTTTGCTGACACAGCATATCTGTACCAGGTGTGGGTTTCTAGCACAGTATCCTACTTGAGATGTGATCTGTGGAAGGGTATGGACAGGAATTCTTTGCAGAATTCAATGTACAACTAACCTCTGCCAGTGGGAAATGTCACAAAAAATTAAAACTGATTATTTGCAGAATGATATTAAATCCACAAAATGAAAAATATATTTGCTGGTCAGCTATAAAAATTCCTAAGTGTGGAGTATCAGTGCACAAGACTGTTTGGATTAGAACCACATGTTCATTGCTTGCATATGCTGGGAATGCACTGAAGGAATATTGGCTTATTTGCATAGTGAAATTCCACCTGCCTCTTGCACTTTACTGTACAGACTTAATTACCCATAGAAAACCACTTAACACTTTACATCTAAATACTTGAACCATCTTCAAATTTCTGCAATACCACACAAAGGTCTGTAAAGCTGATAGTTTATATTCAGTGAAATGAATTAGTCCAGATGTGAGACAGTGTCTAATTGGATGGTTCTGTTCTCTTGTGGAAATTAGGATTTCATGTTTTCAAATTGCTAAAATTTTATTCAAGACTGGGTTGGCTGTGGCTTCAAATAATCATTGTAATACATTTTGCTTGGCTGACCTTTTCCTTACCAGTAAACTAAAGTTCATTTGGTTTTGTTGCTCACTAACACAAATGGGTTTCTTCTGATGTTTTTACTAAAAATCTTCTTTCTAACTGTGTTCAAGCATGCAGTAAGGAGTTAAATTTGTCATGCACAACAGATTTCTGACTGGGCATGCTTGAGGACATTTTTGGCATGTATTTCAGTTACAGTTAACACTTGAAATATTTGGGAGCTAGAATTTGTGCAGTCAATGAATAGAGGATTTGTTTGTGCACTCCATGACTTAAACTGGGACCACTGGAACTTGTATAGATGTAGTTTTTGCACATAAGGAACTAATTTATTATTTTGCAATGAAAACATGTCATTGGAGAACTGACCTGATGGAAATAATGACCGACTGCATTCCTAGAATTATCTGAACAGAACTGTTGCCCTTCAGAAGACCTGGAGCTCATGGCACTGCCAGGAGGGACTTTGGTTGGTCTGGGGCACGTCTGTTGGCACCATTCCCATGCAGGTCTATTCCTTGTTGGTCTTTTGCTGAAACCACAGCAATCATCTTAAAATGATTTCTTGATGAGTGTCTTCTGATGCTGTGCCTAACTGGTTCAAGTTTGCGTTTCTGGTATGTTTTAAAAACTTAGTTGTGAGTGGATATTCACCTATTAGTTAAGAGTCATTTAAACTGTCTCCTTTTCATGGGTTTATGAAAATGTTACTTCATCACTGTGGCAGATGTCAGATTTAAAAATACCTTAGACATTTTTAGTATAAATATGTAGCTGCTGTTTTTAGTCCAACAGTGGAGTGCTGTAATTTCAGTAGAATTGGGAAAATATTAAAAAGGTATACAAACCTGATTTTTCTATATTTGTGCTGCAGTTTTTTAGTCACTATCTTTTGCTGTTGTCTTATTTTTCTTGTTTATCAGACTAAGTTCTTGTCACAAGTACAGTTAATATTAATGCAAACCTCTTTGAATTTATAATACGTGGTTTGGCTATGTTTTATTTTCCTTGGCAATTAGTTTTGGGACAATCACTGCTGGTTTTAATTCTTGATCAGTGTTGTACCTCCTTCTCCTGACGTGTATTGGTTGGGTCTGAACAGAGGTGGGAGGTTTTCAACTGTCCCTGGCAGCTGAGGCTGTGGCACTTCATTTAACTCTCCCCTGGTTTTGTTTCTTCTGCTTCAGCGTTTAATGCAACAGGTTTGGATGTGGAGCACAGGGCTCCCCGTTTGGGGGTGCTGCTGAGTGCCCTGAGGTGCAGCACAGATTCTCTTTATTAAGACCATCAAAGTGTTAATCGTGTAGGTGACTCCTGCAGGACTGAACATTCCATGGAAGTTCAGGGCTGCTGAACTGTTGAGTTGTAAGAAACCCAAACCACCCACCCCTGAAAAAGCCCAGGCAAGAAACTTGATGGTTTGGTAAGTCAAGAGAGAAACTGGTTTATACTGGCAGGTTATGTTCAATAAAAGGGACTGTTCCAAGTATATAAATACAGTTATCTTCCTTGTTTTTAAGCAGACTTACTGTGCTAATACATTGCTCAAACAGTTGAGCTAATAACTAGAATATCCTATTCTTGAAACTCTTCCAATTGTAGGCACAGAACTACAGCAGAGTTAAAATGATGCTTTAGTCTTATTTGTGAAACCCTGCCTTCTGTGGCTTTCTCAGACTGTAGCAAGCATAATATTTTTGTGGTTTTGAGTGGCTTTCCCTGTGTCTGAACCTATTGTATGTTTTGCTATTATTCCAAGACTGTTCCACAAAACTCACATGCACATACATCATTCACATAATGCTTAGCAGCTAAAAGTATTAAAATGAAAATATAAATAAAATACCTTTATTATATCCTTGGATTGCATTTCATAATCTTGTTGGATCAGGCTTCCCATGGAAACATCTGTGTCATACTCCTCAAACTGGAATGGTTGTTGCTGTAGAGGTGGTGCTGGACTTACCAAAGGTACAAGCACAAACAAAAAGAAAGTAGCCTGCAAAGTCTCCATCCTTCCCTGGAACAATGTTTGAGGCTTTCACTGAGCTGCTGGAGATCTGCTTATGCCTGGACTATGGAGAACACTTTCTTTGGGACTGGAAATGAAAATGCAATCCGTCAAAACAATATTTAAAGCCTAGAGGACTAGTTGGCAGGGGTTTGTAACACATAAGGAACATGGAACAACTTTTAACTCTTGATATCCTTTAATTAGACTCTATAAAAGCTGTTCTTAACATGGGAAGAAACTGGGAAATAACAAACAGCATTTTCCAAGTAGAAAGGAAAATATTATCTTAAGTGCATTTTGTTTCTCAGTGTTATTTTTGTTAAAAGCAAGAGGATTTTGTAAATTTATGAAACATTTGGCAAGTGTGTGGCTGGACTAATTAAAACCTGAGAGGTTCAAATGCATTTTCCTGGATTGTCAAAATAAGGATTTTTAAACCTAAATGCTCTATAACAATAATCTTTAATTGTCTTTTACTTTACATTTAAAAGTAAATGAGAGCAGATAACTTAATACCCCCTGAATATTTTACAGGTTGTGCACTTTTCAGGCAGGGGGAGGAGGCTGATAAACATAATCCTTCAAGCATTACAAACATGCATGGGATACTTTGGTATCTTCATACAATATTTCCCCCTGTTTACTGTAATGGAGTGTTTTATTCAAGTTTTAGGTTAATATACTTTTAGGAAAAAAGTCCACCTACCTTTTTAGTAGATTCCAAGTTCTTCAGTGACTGTCATAAAACCAGATATCCTTATCTGTAGGTTATTCTTACCAATGCACTTCAGGTTCAAGTTCTGAATTACATCCCCCTTGCTGAAATGGATACTCTCTCCGTTTGACAGTCTGCAAAGTACTTTCCATGGGGTAAAAATGCTCTGCCAGCATTCTCTCCCAGGGGGAGAGGTAATATCCTGGAGCAGGGGGTTGTACTTTGCGTAACATTGTGAGTGCTGAGCCTGTCTGGCTCATCCTACTTTTGGTGTTACTTGTTAAAATGGCAGATTTCTGCTCTGTGGTGATTTCTTCTTTAGAATTCCAAAGGCTTTTTCTGTAAATCAAATATTAATTGTGCAATGTAGAGGTCTCTAATAAGGCATGTGTTATCCATTTGGTTTCAATGCTTTAGCTCAGAGACAAAGCAGCTGCTTTCTGAGGCAGAGGTAGAGCCAAAACATACGTCTGCTGTGTTAGTCACGTTCTCTGAATAATAAAATTACAAGTTATATATGTTTCGAGAAGTTTCACCTACCTATGAAATGGAAACTTTTCAGTGTCAAGAGTTCTGGAAACAAAAAAATACTCTTTAGAACTTCATGTGTGTTGATTTTTGGTGTGTAAATGCTTCATTAATTGACTTATTAGACAGTTTATTGAAAAAATGCTCTCAAAAGAAATACTTGCTTTAAGTGAAACTGTTTCAGTTCTACAGATAACTCAGTGAATGCTGTCCAGGTGTAGAATTTCCATCTGAACTATGAGCAGCAGTTTTCTGGATTTGTAATGCAGTTCTTCCTCCCCCATCCTTTTCCTCATTATGTATTTTTGGCAGGCAGCACAAATGGGAGCCAGATGACCAACTTGAAAGTTTACAAAGTAGCTTTTTCGAGTCTTTAAAAAGTATGTAGCAATAAAAATCTAGTGGGAATATATCCAGATTTATACTTCTCTTTCAAGGTAATTTTTTTTTGCTTTTTTCTAGAGTAATACTGGGGATAAACCATGCACCTTTTGCTTAAGTTTTATTGTGCTGCCTTGTCTAGAGACCAGATGTCTGTAGTAAATCTGCAAATGGGAGAGTAACTACAACCAGTTGCTCTCTAAACTCTGTGAGTTTATTACCACTTTCTGAACTCATTAGGATTTTATAATAATGTTCTTAGTTTATCTCACGTGCGAATTTAACAGTGTGATGGTTTGGACTTTGAACTTGCTCTAGGATAATGATATAACAGATGTAAAGGGAACAGGCTCAGTAATAATGGAAATTGGGCCCTGAATCACCTTGGATGCTGTTCTGCTGGAACACCAAAGGTTTGGGAGTGGCAGTGGCAGTACCATCTGCCCAGCCCTCCTGGCTTCAGCCGTGTTTCGGAAGTAATGACACAGCTCTGCTTTGTTCTTACCCCTTTCCAGCTGCCACCCCTCTGCCAAACATCCAGGTTAAGATTTCCTCTGGCTCTGAGGCATCCAAGTGTTTCCAATGCTTGAATGTAATCAAAGGATAACTATTCTAGGGGGGAAAAAGTATCAAGTATTGAAGCTGAAAGCAAGATATAAAATCTTAAATATATTTGTAATATTTTCACTGTAGTTTATTCTATAAGTACTGAAATCCTTGAATTCACAGCGAGGCACATGGGATATCTTGGGAATACTTTTTGTTTTGGTTTTTTTCCTTATATATGACAACTTTAAAAATGAGAGAAAACTACTAGATAAATGAGGCCTTGAAAAATTAGAAAGTCTTTGTGCAAGAAAGCTCTTGCTTACTTTGATCTGCAAGATGAGAAGACTTTAGGAATAACTTCTGCAGAAAATGTGAAAAGTCTGATCTGCGTCACAAGATTTGTGTGCTTATCAGAAAAACATTGTGTATATTCACTGTTCTTGTACAAGCACTTGTAAAAAACCTCATGAATACTTACAAATACATTCAAAGAGTGATATGTTAATTCATTTGGCATGATGTCCTCAAGGTCTGGCTTACAGTATACATTTACTGCCAGTGCCAAATAAAACAGTAGTGCCATATTTTGTGTGCACTGTCATCCCTTGTGTCAGGAAGAAGAAAATATATCAGCAAATAATGTCAGATAAAAATAGTTTTTATCTGAACATGTACCAGATGCTCAGATCAGCTCAAGGACAGGGATGGGACAAGTGGCTGCAAACAAGGAAGGGGCAGCAGTGCTTCCTCCAGCACCACTGTTGCTTTATTCCTGCTCTGAGTGGATCCAAGTCATGTGAAATGAAAATGTGGTTCTTATGCACTGGCAGTAGGGGAGCTCACAGGAAATACCTGGCAAGCAGAGAGCGCTTTCTAGGCACTGTTAGTGCTTGGAAATTGGATGTATAAGTATCTGCTGCTTGGACTCTGGTTACAGGGATCTATGCAGTTGGAAGGTGGTTTATGACTTGGAAACCTGAACAAGCTGTTTTTAACTCCCTGAGCTCCAGTTTCTGAAGAGGACCTTGATAGTGTTCATGGTGGGCTTTCTGATTTCCCCAAGGTCCTCATTTGCACCGACTGATTTCCCCACAAAATACTTTTGCCTGAAGTGTTTGGCATATAAAATGGTCATTTTACTAATTTGGTTGACATGGAATCCTGGCTTAAATTTGAGCAGTGGTCATTTCCCTACCGTTTTGTAAGGATATAAAATGTAGCTGAAGGTATAAATGAAGCACAACACTTATTTGCTTCTAGTAGAGGGAGCCCAAGCCAGTTTGACAAGGGACACTTGCTCTCTGGATTCTCCTGCCAGAAAAACTTAACTTTAGGGGAAAAGGGTTGCAGACAGAGTAGGTGTAAAATTTGTTGCCCAAGGTTGCCTTCTGTCAGGTTAAACGATGAAAAATAATTCTCTCTAAAGACAGAAAAAGAGAAGTTGGATGGGTATGGATGGCAGAGATAGGAAAAGTGTGGGAGTAGAGCAAGACAGAAATGAAGGTAACAATCCAAACTATCCGTTGCTGCCTAAAGCTTCTTCAGCATCTGGGAAGGAATCTGGTATTTAGTGCAGTTTATATGTCAAGAGCAGATAAAGGAAAAAATCAAGCTGAAAACATCCTGGAGGGACCTGAGGAAAGATTTTGTTTTGCAGATTTTGTGAATTATTTGCTCTGGCTGCTGTCCAGCTGTCTATTTATCTTGTACTCCAAGTGGCCTCATATCTGCCCTGCTCAGAGCTTTAGTGGGACTAATTCAGTTCCATTCTCACCTTTCTACTAATGCTTCAAGATATTCCTTATGAAATAAACCAAAGCTGAGATTTTAAAAGTTTGTGAGTACTCAGGTTTGTTCTATATTCAGGCAAAGAAAGTGTATTTTTGCAGCTGCTTAAAGGCCTTGGCTCTCCTCTTGTATCATATTCTCTAAAGGACAATATTGGCCAGTTCTGCAATTTGAGTTTGACTGGTTTGAAGTGTTCTTGGAAAAAAGCAGTATGGATTATTGCTCAGCTGACCTGTGCTGATGGTGAATATTGAAAATCACTTCTACAGAATGTTCAAAAGTCAGTGTCTTTTCCTGGCCAGAAATTTGTCTGTGACAAAGGAGATGGGGAGAAATTAGGAAAGCTTTTAAAGACTCCTGGGCATTTGTAGACCTGGGCAGAGTGCTGAATTTTCTTTTTCTGTGTGATAGTTTTGCTCCACATGGAAGGCAACATGTTCAGTATTCCTCAGCATGTCTTGTGTGTGAAGTGTGATTAACCACTTCATGTTGATGAGCTGTTCTGGTTTGGAATCATTATAACAGAAAAGGTTTTAGAGAGTAAAAGTGAGTTATTGAACCAGCCTGATAACATGGGCAAAATAATTTACAAGCAGCGAGGCATAGATTTTCTGTTAGAGAGAACAAAGGCATGAAGTGATGTTAAAACTGAACTCAGTGTTTATCTTTTTATTTTCTTCTTTTTAACCTAAATATAACTTCATGAGGTTGTTCTCTATGTAATTTTTATTTTCTAAAATATAGGCCTTTTCTACTTGACATTTGTGTGCAATTAATTCTGCCTTCTAAAACTGCTTTTTTCTTTTTGGTACTGCTCTGTGATATGAGACTTCTGTGAGTCCTGCATCCCCCTCTGCTTTTTGTTGAGGTCCTGATACAGGGGATAAAAATAGTTTTAAGGCAGTTTAATGCCAGTGCTTGTGCTGGGGTTGCATTCATTCAGGGAACTAAAAGCATCCCAAAGAGAGGAGGAAACAGTCTCCTGGTTTGTTCTTGAGCCCTGCACAGAAATTGGGCTGCAGGCAATACTATAGAACAGTTGGGTAACATTAAAGAAAGTATATTCCTTCCCTCCCATGCTGAGCTGGAGGAGGGTTCAGAGATGGTATGAAATGTAAAATAAATGATCATCATCTTGTAGAGACAAAGCTTAGAACGTTCTTCAAGATTCAGAATGACCAAAAAAGTGCTGGAAATGAAATAGTTATGCATAAACACCTCCAGTATTTGTATGAAAAGTTGTAACAATTTCCAAGGCTCAGTGGATTAGATTAAGTTTAGGTCACTGTTAGGGCCACCAGCTGCAAAACAGGGACAGATGAAAAATGACCCAGTGATTGTATGGACATCCTTCCATATGATTCTGATTTATAATCAGAATTTTTGGAAGCTGAAGACATTACCTCTATTTCTTGTATTTATGAAAAAGGAAGAGTCCTTTTATCAGTTACTGTGTTATAAATGAATAAAGTGCATTTTAAAAATCAGGCACAGTATTAAACAGCAGTCCAGCTGTGGTTAACAAATGTGAATGATCCCTGGAGGAACAGCACTGTCTGCTCGCCCAGACCCCTCTGTGGAGCTCATGTTCTCCTGAACTTTGCTGTATATCACCAGTTATATCCTGACACAAAGCCAACCTACTGCAGCTTATTGAAATTTCTTAGAATTCCTTCCTGAATTGGCATTAGTTCTTTATGACAACACCATCCTTTGTGGAGAGCTGTTACTCTGTCCACAGGGACACTCGAGTCAGGGCTCTGAGCATCGGTGGCCTGATCCAGATATTTTACATCAGTCATCTGCTCCTTATGTCCTTTGTAGCTTCTGCTTTACTCTGTGTCTGTGGCTCATCTTCATATTTACCTGCTTTTCCTTGTCTTGTGCTTTTATAAGAAAGGGGAAGGTTAATTTATTCTTTTTTTTCTGTGTAGAAGATGAATTTATGCAATGAATTACAAGATTATTATGTGTTTTTCTTTTAAATTAATTGGCTTGTTAGAAATGTAAATTTTGGATGAAATACTTTAAAACATCAGATGATAAATGTTTGTGTTTGTGGAGTTCCATAACTTGCAATACACACAATTTGGCTTATAGCTGAAAAGTTCATACCCCTGCAGCAGTGCTGGGAAATGATTGTGAAATCTCTTCAGTGTATACTTTTTTTGGTTAAAAATACAACATGTTCTCCTTTCCTGCTTTTCAGGTAGGAAATGCCTATGTTTATTACTTGCAATGATCAAACTGAGAAACAAAGAAGGAAATGGATACATATTGTAAAAGTGGAATGTGAATAAATTAAACTAAGAAAACATGAACTGTAAACCATCTGTTTTCTATAAAGAACTCTTTGCTAATCCACATAACTTTTATTATCAGAATACTGAAGTAAGTCTCTCAAAAAGTAACTCTTATAAATATGAAATACCTTCAAAAAAATGGGAAAAGGCAAAATATATTCCCACTCTTTTGAGGCTAAAGGAAGAAATGGAGACAGTTGGATTAAATAACTAAATGCAATTATTTATCTTCCTTTATTTTTATTTTTTACAATAACCTCTTGTGGCTGGTGCTTCTACTGAATTGCTAATGGAGAGACACTGAGTTGTGACCCAGATCAGGCTTTGCTTCTGTATTTTCTGATTCTGCTGTAAATAAGCTCATTAAGCTGTTTGATGCTTGTTAGATCTTGCTGTTACTGATGAAATAAATAAGATTTTAATACATGTTTAGTTCTTAGTTTACGAATCTATTTTCTTCTTAAAACCACTCAATAATATTCTGAAACCAAATACCAGAGCAATCATGAAGCAAGGATGTTTTGCTACCAAAATCTGGTGCTTGTGTAGTGGTATAATTGGTTTATCCAGAGCTCCACACTTGCATGGCTGCTTTGAGTACCTGGATCAGGGTGGATGTCTGTCTGCTCCAGGACACTGCAGCGTGGAGCATTGTAGGCATGCTGTTCCCAAATTTAAGGAGCTAGAAAATGCCTTGGAATATAACCACAGTTGGTAGTGCTTAAAAACAAACCCACAGAGTTTCAAATTCTCCTGTATGGAGGCACTCAGCATTTCCTGGTGGTGAGGAGCAGTAGCAGCACGTTAGCAGAGCTGAGGGGAGGCAGGGCACGGAACTGGCTGGGGAATCAGCCCTAAAGGTCAGTGTGACCTGTCTGCAGTCCTGTCTCCAGCAAGGGCCATGAGCAGATGCTTTGGGAAGAGTGGGAACAGGACAGTCAGGTAGGATCCTTGTCTCATCCTGTCTTCAAATGCTCTTCCATTCTCCAGCTATTTTCAGATCAGCTCTTTTGTACCTGCTGTGCTTTGTTTAACAACCTGTAATGGATCTCTTCCAAGAAATACAATTACCTGTGCAGTCTTCTCTTGAAACACATGTAAAATTGCTGCTGTGTCCTCGGGAGCTCAGTTTAAGGGCTGACTTTTCACTGCTACAAATGTGTTTGTCCAGTTTGTACCTGGGCCATATCCCCTGATGGCTCCTTGCCCCTGTCCCGGGGCAGCTGATCCCTGGATCCATGCTGTCTGTGCAGCTCCGAATTTTGTGGGGATCTTCTGCAGCTCCTCTTAGGAATTTCTTTGCTGAGCTGGTGAGTGCCTTCTCTGCTGTTTAGATAGAAGCCATTCCTTACCTTTGGTGGCCTCGTTACCTTTCTGAGATCCTTTTCTAATCATGCCATATGTAATTACACCAACTACCTGAGGGTTTGGAAATCAATAATTTGATTAATGTCTGGGTGAATCACAGGTTTACAGTGGTGCCTTGATGTCTCTTGTTTTCTCTTTCTCTCTAGTTACTCTACATTTGAGTTTGCTGCTGGGTACCAAGCCAGTGTTTTTCATTGAACCACCTACTGAACTACTTGAGTCTTGCTCCTGAGTGGTGGCAATGAGGTCACGCTTCCATCTTTTCCTTGGATATCACTTCTCATTTAACAGTGATGAGTTTCATTGGCTGTTTTAGCACCCCAAGGTCTTGTTGCAGTCACTCATCACTCCTTAGCGCTCGTAACCTCCCTGCTCGGCCTGGTTTGTCCATCTCTTGCAAGTATTTTAAACTGAATAAATCCCAGCAAAGCTCCCACCAGTGGGATCCCTCCACAGTAAGAACTGACCGTTTGTTCTTCCTTAAAAACCTCTCAGAAATTTTTATAGGCAGTTTGGACCAGGATCTCCCTTTTCCACATCCTTCATGATTCCTTCAGAGAACTCCAAGAGATTTGCAAGGGCAGAGCACCATGGCTTTTACAGAAGCCATTCCCAGTCTTCCCAGAGCAAACTGTATTCAGCTCAACATCCATGAATTCTGTTCTTTGTTAGGAATTCCTGTTTCTCCAAAGCTGGCAAGTCTTTAGTTCCATAATCACCCTAAAATCCTTCTGGAAGAACAGTGTCCTATTTGCCACAGATGAGAGATGATAATATTAATTGAAAGAAAAGTGAGTTACAGTGGTTCTGTTTGTAATACAATTTTCATGTCCCATTTGAAGGAGTTAAATATAATAAGACTCAAATGAGTTAAATGTCATAAGCTCTAAAGCTTTCAATAACTGTCAGTTTGACTTTAAAAAATGTATATAACTAGTTGCTGCAAAGTTCATGTCTTTAATTCTACTTTAAAACTAAAGCTAAGCTTTGCTTGAGAGATGATTTTAAAAAGCAGGAAGTTTGTGATAGAAGATATAATATTCATACTATAGAAGGATAGTGTCCTTTTTTTAAAGCTGAGCAAACCTTTCAAAAAAGCCTCTATTTTAGCCTGCATTTTGTGCACCATTCACTTAAAACTTGAAATAGCTGAAAGGTTCCCTAAGGTTCATATACTCCATGTTTATGTTGATAAAGCTATAAAGCTATAAATATATCTAAATTTGTACATATTTTAATGAGTATGCATATGTTCCTTGTTCATGAGCCAGAGGTTGATAAATGTTAATAAACATGTTTTAAAAAAGAGGAAGACAAGGTTATATTCATGGGCTTAAAGTGAATCTTTATGTTAAAAAATGTGTCACTAGGTATTTTCATTTTCTTAAAAATTGTTTAATCAGAAACCAAAATATATGAAGGTGGGCTTCAAAAAATAACTGACATTGTAAGAGAAAAAAAACCAAACCTGCGTGTTACTTCATAGAAACACTGGTACAAATCTGCTCACGTACTTCTTGTAGCTTTTTGAGTTTTCATATACTTAAAGTGCAGTGTAAAATTGGAAGAATGGATCTTTTGCTTGCATTCTTTTTTTTTCCTGTTGAAAATGGTGATTCTCCCTCACAGGTAACAAAGCATTAATGGGGAAAAAGTGCTGAAAAATGAAGAATTAAAAAAAAGCAATAAAGTGCTCTATAGTGTTATCTTACCCTGTAGTTATTTGGATCTGTTTCTAGGCATAAGACACCAAAAAAATCTACATAGCTCAAGGATTACACAGTATTTCAGGTTACTTAAAGCAGTTTTAATTCTACTTTGAAGCAGAATGTAGCTCACTGCTATTAGCTTTGCAGAGGGACAGTCTAAAATATTAGTTCAAAAAACCTGGAATGCTTCTATTTGTGCCTGTTCTACCTGACTAACAATTCTAATAAGATTATATTACAGTTTCATATGTCTTCTGAAGTAGCATGGGCTAAAGCACAGGTAAAATGTGAATGCTAATGGTTCAGTTGTGTTAATACTCATACTTCTCCCTAGATTCTAAGAGTGTGATGAAAGGTTGTGTATTGCCTATGTTACTAATAAGCTGCAATATCATTTGGAAGGTTGTGATAGTTGAGGTACAGACAGAGAAGTAAATATTATAATACACCTTGTCAGGACACTTAAAACATAGAATGGGGAATAGAATTTTTGGGAAAAATCAAACCTCAAAGATTGATTTTCTTGTCCAGTTAGAAAGTGGAAGAAGAAACATCTGTATTTCTGGAGGATGTGGAGGAACCTTGTGGAAGTATTTTGTGACCTTACCCTCCTGTCCTGCTCTCTGGTGTGTCTGTTTTCCTCCGCTCTCAGCAGTAGGATGCAGAGCTGGGAGGATTTTTGCCCTTAACTATTTGTTCCTATAGAGTTTGACATTCATGTGTGTTTTAGGCATTTTGCAGTTTAGAACACAGAAGATTTTCAGGTCAGTTTTCTTCAGCTTAGGCTGCTCCCCCAAGGGTGAGCCCACCATCAACCCAGGTGTGTATCAGACTCTGTCTGATGTCAGGCGAGTGCTCTTTGTTCCTGCTGCTCTGGTTTTTACTACACCAGTAAGAGAACACTTCCCTACACTAAATCCGCCCTCCACACATCTATATTAAACATCCCAGACTACCCAATTGTTCTAGAGTGGCTCTGAATGACCCCCAACTAAGGAAAACTTTCCCTGTACACTCATTACCAATCCCTTCAGTGAAAGTAAGGATAGAAGTAGTTGTTGTCTTGTGCTTCGTGATCTTCTTCGGTGTCTTGACTGTGCGTTTCCTGATTGTCTTCTGCTTCCTGGTATTCCTCTGGGGTTAAGAACCGCCGGAACACCGGTGTTCGGAGCCGGGTTGGCCTGTTGAGAGTCACGTTTTGTTCTCCGTAGTAGATGGTTCTGATGAGGGGGAAGCAGAAGAAGGCATAGCTGCTGATTGGGCTCGTCAGCTTGTTCTGGTCCACGCGGATGTAGGTCAGCTGGTGGATGTTCAGTGGGTCCAGAGTTGGGCACATCAAAGTAACGTTTATGTCTGCAAGAGAGTGAAAAATCTGAATTAAAATGCAGAAATTTAAGATCTGTTGCAAAAGCGAAACTCACGTTTTGAAATTGAAAAGGGAAAATATTTTTGCGCAGTAATATCATTTTTGCATTTTAAATCAGTTTTGTAAATGGCAGTGATGACAGTTTTGGGGTTTACAGACTATAAGGTTGTGGAGTAAAAAAAGAAAAAATATGACTACCACTAGAGTTTGTAATTAGTATTTTATGTGAATGAAATGTTTTTGGAATTCCTTTTGTCTGTATGTTTTTATCAGTTGCCACATCAGAAGCAATTTTCAAAAAGTTTTTAGCTTGTTCTATGAAAAACTGGTATTAAATTTTACAAGGAATTGCAAATTAGGGGTAAACTGAAAAACCAAATCCTCTCTAATTTCACCAGTTTGGTCTCAAATGACTGAGGATGTGTTTACAATGCATCCTGAAGAAGATGGGATGATATTCTCCCTGCATTCCTCCCACAACCAGTGCCAAAATCCACTAAGTTCTCTGCTTTTAAAGAATTTTATCCATCAACGTACTTTCAAGTTCATTGCCTTCAATATACAAGTGCTGCAAACTTCTTGGAATATAGAACACTTCTTTCAGTTTGTTGTGTCCAAGGTTAAGTTCCAGGAGGTTGGGTAGGTTAAAGGTGTTGCGTGGAATGTCCTGCAGGTTATTGTGGGACATTCTCAGAGCAATGATTTTGGGGAGTCTGTGGAAATAGTTTTCTGGAATATAAGAAATGGAGTTATTTTCAAGAGAGAGGTGCATAAGTGATGCCGGCAGACCGGGAGGCATAGTCTGTAACTTGTTGTTGCACAAGTTGAGCTGCAGTAGATTTTTCATGTTGGAAAAGGGTCGGTCTTTGAGTACTGAGTCATCAAGGAAGTTACTGCAAAGGTCCAGCGTGGTGATGTTGGGTAACCCTCCCAGTGCATCCCCAGGTAAGCGGGCAATCTTATTGAAGCCAAGGAGGAGTCTCTCCAGAGAGCTGGGCAGGGGGAATGGAAACTCTTCTAACTCATTATGTTGCAAATAAAGCTGCACTAAGCTTGAAAGTTTGGCAAAAACCCCCTGGTCAATCATGTGGAATTTAATTTTGTTGTAGCTGAGGTTGATTTCCCTCACAAAGGTGACATTAGTGAATGGTGCTGCAGGCACGGCTTCGATGTCGTTGTTCTGCAGGTAAAGCTGTTGGACGTGACCGGGGATATTTGGTATTGTCTTCAGTTTCCGATGGTCACAGTACATGGACAAGGGGAAAGCTGGTGGGCAAAAACATTCCCTGGCACACTCAACTGGGAGAGGAAAGCGAGGAACTTCAGCTTGTGTGTTCGGGTTAAAATAATATGGAGTTTGATGGTCTGGCTCCTCATAGTCATCCTCGAAATCATAATCTTCATACTGACAAACGACCAAAGCAGCCCAGAGGAGGTGAAAGATTGATTGGCTCAGAACCCCCATATTTAAATTCATATGTTGTGACCTGTTGATGAGAAGGAAAATTAAGTTTTAGATAGTCATAAAGTAAATTACGTGTAAGTTTAACTTTTAAAAAGCAGCAATACATAATGAAGTAGAACAGTGCATTCCTTTGGCAACGCTGTCAGTGCCATTATTCACAGAACCAAGTTTTGATCTGTACCTTTCAAGAAAAAAAAGCATAAACAAATTCATTGTACTTGAAGTAAAAAGAAGTTTTCTGGTCTGACTTCAGACAAGGGACAGCTTTCTACATGTCCTGTGCCTGGTACTGAAGGACACCAGTTGGGAGTGTTAAACAATCCCAGTCTTCATTCCTGTCTCACTTTAATTTACTGCAGAGTTGCAGAAGGGTTTTTTTATGAAGTGGTATAACTGAGGTTTGTATTGGACAGTGGGTTAAGCGTCAGCCTTATAACTCAGTTTTAAATGGGTGCAGATGGAATTCCTGAGTAACTTTCTTCCTCAGACCTTTAGAAACACAGCGGTACCCTAGTTATACACCTATATTTGTAGATATTTGTAGGTATTTGTAGGTACCCTAATTATACCCATTACACATAATACCCTAATTAGACACATTTTTGTAAACACATTTGTTACCCTCACTCTGGTGCATAGCCAATGTCACACAAGTGTTTGGAAGTGACTTTGTAGAATCACAGTCATGGAGTGGGTTAGGGTGGAAGGGACATTAAAGCCCATCTCCTTCCAGCCCCTGCCATGGGCAGGGACACCTTCCACTAGCCCAGGCTGCTCCAAGCCCCGTCCAACCTGGCCTTGGACACTCCCAGGGATGGGGCAGCCACTTGCTGCTCAAGTGTTTCCATCTCCAGCAGCAGATTAGATCAGCCTCAACTTTCTCTTGGGGATCTTCAGGGGTGGAATTCCAGCATCTCTCTAAATAACCCAAGGTAGTGCTGTACTACCCCCCTTGTGAAGAAACTGCTTGTCTTACTAAGCATCCAAGCCATGGCTTGTGTCTATTGTTTTTGTTTTTAAACAAAGTTATTTTTGTTAAAAATATATGTCCTGGACTAAGGTGAGGTAATCCCAGGATTGTTTCTATAAAGAGAACATTGAAATAGATTGGAAATATTGCATATTACGTAAAATAGAAATTTATGTGGCTTTGGGGATTGTATGTTCTGTGGCATTTTATGTTGTTTTTCTATTATTTTCCACAAAACATGGCTGACTTAGGACTGTGTGTTAATAATGATAAAAATGGGATTTTTCCATTCCCATAACTTAGTTAAATCCAATACACTTCAACCATTGTCTGCACATCACAAAAAATCTTCACAGTCTTCCTGTGCTTCTCTAATCCTATGTTCTCTATAGATGTGAACTACTTGGCCTTCAAAGTACCCTTCTGAGGTGAAACCCTGATGCTGTGAAAGACAAATCATTTTGCAAAGCCAGACTAACATTGTAGAGCACTTTATGCAGTCAGAGGAACCCTGTTATTTGGCAGAATAAGCAGTCGTGAGTCATGTCAGGCTGTTCAACCTAAACAACAGCAGATGAGTCAAAATGTAACATTGCAGGTCAAAGCACATAAACCATGGAAAAGTTTTAGAGACTTTGCTCAGCATAGGACGAGAACCCTGAGGCAGAGAGAGGAAAGCAGATATTCTCAGGGGTTTGTATAATGACATCCATGGTTCTTATTCACGGGACTCTGTTTTCTTGATACTCTTAATATTTGGTTACTGAACTCTGTCAGTAACAAAGGAGATGAGACTTAGAAATTCTAATTTCCTATGATTCCTAGTGGTCATTGCCTAATGCATGATGATTTCTATGAATTGAACAAGAGAGAGAGAATTCTAAGAAAAAAAAGTAGTAACAAACTTGTGGTATTAATATATCCTTGTAATCTGGTGTGACCCAGAGCCTGTGTGTGCCAAAGGCTGTGTGGAATCTTGTGTCATGGTCAAACTTGCATTTTTAACTTTGTATTTGAGTGCTCCTGCAATCAAATTTCATAACTGATTAAAACCTTAAAAACAGGTTTGAGTGGAGTCAGTTGTTTGGAACCCCGTTGTAGGTAGGTCTCCAACAAAGCCAGGGGCTCCATATCCCTGTGGCATCATCACATGTCTGAGCTCATCTAAGCACCCAACAAAAGCCCAGAGAGCAGCCTCCCACTGCACACTCTGTGAATGCTCTGTGCTGACAAACTGGGCAGGCACTGGCTGGGCTGAGAAGCAATACTGTGCTGCAGGAGCAATTCATTGGGTGCTGGATTTCAGGCAGAGCATATCAGGAGAACATCTCATCTAATCAGTCCTGTTGATATCTACATAGGTAAAATCTGTCTCTGAATCCTGTAACTCCATTCTGGTTTTGTGAACAGACCCTTCCACAATCTGTCCCCCGTGCCCATTTCACACTCTTGGTTTCCTTTTGATTCCTGTGACCCCCTTCTTCAGTTGCAGTCCAGAACTTGACCTTCACCTTCCAGTTCCATCCTCTCAGCGTTTTTACTGCATGTCACAAAATTTCCAGTTAATAATTTTGGTTCTCAGTGCCACACCTGTCCTAAGAAACCAGGAGGAACAACCAAGGAAAGTCTGCTCAGTTATGGAAAACCCTTTCTTAGACCTTTGTGGATTGATCCACTTGCCATGTGGATGGTGTAAAGAGAACTACCATCATGTCAGATGGAAGGATAAATAATAGGTACCAAAATCTCCCCAGTGGATTTGTGAAGAAACTGGTATTCGGGGGGAATTCTTTGTGCCTTGGCTATCGGAGAGTATATCTGATAAATACTAGAATAGTATGTACTCGAATAGTAACTGTCCTGCCAGTCCTGCAGGTCACTCCTCAGAGCACTGAGATACTAACACTTCAGGAGATATTTCTAAGAACTTAACCTTAAAACAGTCATGTCAGGGGAAACTTGCTAACAGGAGATGCAAGTCAGATGCACTCAATATGATAAACCACATACTTAGAGCTGAAAACAGAAAGTCTTAAAAGCACAATTCTCTCCCATCTGTAACAAACTCAGAGCTTAGTAACTGTATTTGTAAGCAGTTTAGGCTACAGATTATAGAACATGCACGAATCACTCCTTACTGAAAAAATAACACAATCAGTTCATTTTATTCCTGCTTACCAAGAAAACTTACTCTTTGGAAGTCGGTGAAGTTGAAGTTGTAGAGGGCAGCAAGTTATTGTGCTGGTGAAATCATCTGAGACTTAGCCTAGCGCAGCTGGAGGAACAAAAGATCTGTCTAAGCCATATTTTGTGGTGAGGAGCCTTGTGGGAAGGCAACACGAAATAACAGCCTTGGCCCCTCTTCTGATTTGCCAGTAAAATAAAAAAAAAAGTGCTTTGTGCCACATCATCAGTTGCTGTAGATGCTGTGTCGTAAGGCTGTGAAGCAATTTGTCCTTTTGTTAAAATCACAATAATTTGCAAGATTCTTTCAGTGTTACCAGTTCCCATAAAAAAAAAAAAGAGAGAATAAGACTTCAGAAATGATTACAGAGGTTATTAGTTCATCAGTTCAGCTGCAGTGATTCAGTTCTGCAAAGGGTTTGTCCTCTGAGAGTGAAGTTAAGAACCAGTAAAAAAATTAACCTTACCAAAATTGAGGGGAAACATGTGCCATAGAAGAGCTCTTAAAAACATCTCCATTTTTCCCTCCCCAGTCTATATGTCCTGTCTCCTTCCTGCAAAGGACTTGTGCTATGCAGTGCTGTCAGAGTGGTGGTGGTAAAGTTAGGGATTCACAGGGAGTTTCCAACATCTTTTTTGCTGAGTTGTGTAGAGAGAGCATAAATCTTACAAAAAGGGCAAGTGTGACATGAGACAAAACCCATTTTACTCAAGAAAAATATTTTTCATACCTTTTAAGAGGAATTAAAGAAAAAAGGCACAGTTATCTGTATGATACTTGCTGCTGTATGATACTTAAATAACTGTGATATATGCAAAAAAATGGAGAAAATGGACAGTTTTTGTGTGAAGTGGATTGAGTGTTTGATTTATCCAAAGCATTTAATTATGTTTTTGGTTTGGTTAAATAATTAAGTTATTTCCAAATCTATTCAAAAGAAAGAATCTAGTTCTTAAAGATGTTTCTTAAAAAGGTGCCTTAGAGGTATCATATTTTAAAAAATAATGCAATACTAAGTTTCTTTTTTTGACTTTGAGCTTTGTGACTCTGATTTGCTCGACCTTTTCAAGTTTCTTCTTTAACACTGAGAACAGGAACATGGTTAAGAAGATAAATCTTACATGATTCTAAAATTGGGGATATAAAGAAAAGAACCAGAAGTCATGCCCAAAATACTATTGTAGGAGTTGGCAATACTGGGACTAAACTAAAGCAGTCATGTATTTATGTGGAGAATACAGAATACAAGAGAGAGGTTGAAAGAGAGCAATTAAAGCTCCATAATCCTTGATTAACAGTACCATAAATAGCTGAATGGCTACATTGTACCACTAACCCTAAGGAATACTAAAAAAAAGAGTAATTTTTGAAATAATTAGAATACATTCAGAACAAGTAATTAAAAAGCCCACCAAGTTTGTTATGCCCAGTTAGTAAAATGTTATTGGCTGCTACAAACTTTGGGTATTTTTTAAGCACAAGACAAAAAACATGTTACAGATTCTTGGAAGCTTTGTTCTATTAACAGTTCTAAACAAAATATATGTAAAATTTAAAACTATTTTATTTAAAGATAAAACTTAAGAGTTTTAATTCCATACCTGATATTTTTCTTATTGTTTCCTAGTACTGATTGTGTCCAAAAGGCTCTTAAGGTATTAAGAGAGTTAAAATCTCATGGTGCATTTAAAAATCCATGGTGGCAGTGAAGGAGAGCCTGTCCTTTTGAGAAACTGTGGTAAAGCTCTTGATTTAAAGCACTTTGAGCTGCAGAAGATGATGCAGCTCTGGCCATGGGATATATTAAGATTCAGTTCCTGTTTTGTTGCCTGAGCTGTCTTGGAGACAAACAAGTCTA